GCGTCAGTTTTGGTAATCTAGAAGCTAAATTATATGGTATGTTGATCTTAGTGTGTTGTTTAGTATGACTAGAGTAGTTATGAGCATCGGTAGGTTTTGCGTAAATGTCTGTAGAAATTGTGTTGTTATCATGATGTCATCACTTTCTGTGTTGTTTTGTTATTTTGTTATTTTGTTACAGAGTGCTATAAACCTACATATACATTAAACAGTTTATATACAAGATAATATATCAGATCAACGTAGTCAGAACATTGTTGTGAAAACTAGATATGTAAATAGTCGCCAGATTATCATAAAGTTTGTTTTATTTCATCAGATATACACCTGTGACACTTTTCATAGATGCAGCATCCTCGCCACCATTAGGCCAAACAAAGCAATTGTTATGTTTTAAATTACGAACCCCAAATTTGGTAGAAATCGAACCATTGATAAAAGAGAGTTATTGCATGAAAACCAATAATGCAATCAGTAGCATCATTACAGGTAACTACGCGTAACCTTGCACATATCAAAATCACAATAGAACTTACACTTACCAGCATGAATTCTAATACCAAGTTGTATGGAAAATTTTGCACGTAAACCAAGCGTGAAAGACGAACAAACAAACGGACGCATCCAAATTAATATTCCACATTTTCCCGAAAGCTTTAAATGGATAGAAATATAAAGTATTCAGGAAGAGAGGTTATGCTATTAGTCATCACTTTCTGTGTTGTTTTGTTATTTTGTTATTTTGTTACAGAGTAACTCTGTGTTTGAAAGAATAGGTTTTTTTCTTTTTCTACAGAAGAGTTATATTTGTAAATTTACACCACCATAATAGATCGGTAGTGTGTCAATAATATAATGTAATGAGTTTGCTCCAAACAGGGATTGGTTATTTTTTTATTTATTTTTTGATAAATAATAATGACTACAATGTATTTCCATTGCTGTGATATCGCTATATGGCGTGTTCGTATATAGCGGACGTCGCTATAGCGAACTATTACGTGACGTCATAACATATACTTCAAATAAACAGTGAAGAATCTCCTTGACGAGATGAAAGTACTAAAGACTCGTTGTTGATAATTTATCTTTTTATATATTTATGAATATATCAAGAGCGGATAAAAATGATCCTTACGGTCGAAGATATAGAATAAAAATAAAACATCTTAACAACGTGTCTTAAGTTCTTTCATCTTGTCAAGGAATTTTTTCAACTGAAGAAAATCCTTGACGAGATAAAAGTACTAACGCTTAACGTTTAGAATTTAAGGAAATAGCAACAACTGGTTCACACGTTGTTAGTAAAATATGACCGGGCGGAATGTTGTGATTGGTGCCTTGGGTATGGTATTTCAGTGAGATAGCACTAGAATGTCAGCATCATATCCACGCTATCACAAAAAAAGCAAATACCAACACACACTGTATCCTGCATACTCATACTCAAACACGCATACACAACACACATTGAGGCACGTCTTTACATGACCTTAGCTGTAAATAGGACGTTAAACAAAATAAAACAAAACAAAACAAAACAATGTGTGGCGTTGGAAGAAACAACTATAACTATATGAGTGTTCGGTTACAGGGAGTGGCGTTAGAAGGAGCGGCTCACGGAGCTACCTGTAACTATATATGTGAGTGATTTGTTACAGGGAATTACGTTGGAAGTAACTATAACTATGTGAGTTTTCGGTTACAGGGAGTTACGTTAGAAGGAGCGGCTCACGGAGTTACCTGTAACTATATATATTTACATTCTGTATGCTTAGACCCATTGACAAAAATTACATTCATAAATGCATAACACAGGTGTTCATAGAATCTCAGCACGTGGGAACTGATAGTAACCTGATCACACTGCGTAGTAATACACTACAAAAACTACTCACTCGGAACGACCGACCTAGATGCTTAATTCTTACATCTTAAAATATTATTGAACTGTGCTTTGTGAAATATCCACGTATTCACGTGTCCTGTGCTACAAATAAACATTGAATATGGAACTACATTTTGTTGTGTTATTGTTGTTGACGGTTGCTAAGATCTCTCACGATAGTGTCACATTTCCCCGCGAAAAAACACTGTTCTCGCCACTGCGTTGCACCCGTGTATAAGCAGGAACAAACCCTGTTTATTTGTTTTATTCGTTGTTATATCGATCCACTGAAAGGATTCGTCAATGTAAATATAAGGAATGATATTTATTTTTTCAACATTTATGAGGTCATAACAACAATGGGTTTTTGGACATATTTTACATGAATCGCTAACGCGATTCATTCAATATGTCCATAAACCCATTGTTGTTATGACCTCATAAATGTTGAAAAAATAAAAATCATTCCTTAAATGAGAGTGAATTGTTACAGAGGATTACATTGGAAGTAACAACTGTAACTATATGAGTTTTCGGTTACAGGGAGTAACGTTAGAAGGAGCGGCTCACGGAGTTACCTGGTACTATATATGAGAGTGAATTGTTACAGAGGATGACGTTGGAAGTAACAACTGTAACTATATGAGTTTTCGGTTACAGGGAGTGGTGTGAGGAGGAGCGGCTCACGGAGTTACCTGTAACTATATATATGAGTGATTTGTTACAGGGAATTACGTTGGAAGTAACAACTATTTCTATGTGAGTTTTCGGTTACAGGGAGTAACGTTAGAAGGAGCGGCTCACGGAGTTACCTGTTACTATATATGTGAGTGAATTGTTACAGAGGATTACGTTGGAAGTAACAATTGTAACTATATGAGTTTACGGTTACAGTGAGTGGCGTAAGAAGGAGCGGCTCACGGAGTTACCTGGTACTATATATGAGAGTGAATTGTTACAGGGGATGACTTTAGAAGAAACAACTATAACTATATGAGTTTTCGGTTACAGGGAGTGGCGTTAGAAGGAGCGGCTCACGGAGTTACCTGTAACTGTATATGTGAGTGATTTGTTACAGGGGATGACGTTGGCAGTAACAACTGTACCTATATGAACTTCGGTTACAGGGAGTAACGTTAGAAGGAGCGGCTCACGGAGTTACCTGTAACTGTATATGTGAGTGATTTGTTACAGGGGATGACGTTGGCAGTAACAACTGTACCTATATGAATTTCGGTTACAGGGAGTAACGTTAGAAGGAGCGGCTCACGGAGTTACCTGTTACTATATATGTGAGTGAATTGTTACGGAGGATTACGTTGGAAGTAACAATTGTAACTATATGAGTTTACGGTTACAGTGAGTGGCGTAAGAAGGAGCGTTCACGGAGTTACCTGTAACTGTATATGTGAGTGATTTGTTACAGGGGATGACGTTGGAAGTAACAACTATAACTATATGAGTTTTCGGTTACAGAGAGTGGCGTTAGAACGAGCGGCTCACGGAGTTACCTGTAACTATACATGTGAGTGATTTGTTACAGAGGTTGACGTTGGAAGTAACAACTGTAACTATATGAGTGTTCGGTTACAGGGAGACGTTATAAGGAGCGGCTCACGGAGCTACCTGTAACTATATATGTGAGTGATTTGTTACAGGGGATGACGTTGGAAGTAACAACTATAACTATGTGAGATTTCGGTTACAGAGAGTTACGTTAGAAGGAGCGGCTCACGGAGTTACCTGTAACTATATATGAGAGTGAATTGTTACAGAGGATTACATTGGAAGTAACAACTGTAACTATATGAATTTCGATTACAGGGAGTAATGTTAGAAGGAGCGGCTCACGGAGTTACCTGGTACTATATATGAGAGTGAATTGCTACAGAGGATGACGTTGGAAGTAACAACTGTAACTATATGAGTTTTCGGTTACAGGGAGTGGTGTGAGGAGGAGCGGCTCACGGAGGTACCTGTAACTATATATATGAGTGATTTGTTACAGGGGATGACGTTGGAAGTAACAACTATAACTATGTGAGATTTCGGTTACAGAGAGTTACGTTAGAAGGAGCGGCTCACGGAGGTACCTGTAACTATATATATGAGTGATTTGTTACAGGGAATTACGTTGGAAGAAACAACTATTTCTATGTGAGTTTTCGGTTACAGGGGGTTACGTTAGAAGGAGCGGCTCACGGAGCTACCTGTAACTATATATGTGAGTGATTTGTTACAGAGGATGACGTTGGAAGTTACAACTATAACTATATGAGTTTTCGGTTACAGGGAGTGGCGTTAGTAGGAGCGGCTCATGGAGTTACCTGTAACTATATATGTGAGTGATTTGTTACAGGGAATGACGTTGTTAGCAACAACTATAAGTATATGAGTTTTCGGTTACAGGGAGTGGCGTTAGAAGGAGCGGCTCACGGAGTTACCTGTAACTATATATATGAGTGATTTGTTACAGGGGATGACGTTAGAAGTAACAACTGTAACTATATGAGTGTTCGGTTACAGGGAGTGGCGTTAGAAGGAGCGGCTCACGGAGTTACCTGTAACGATATATATGAGTGATTTGTTACAGGGGATGACGTTGGAAGTAACAACTATAACTATGTGAGTGTTCGGTTACAGGGAGTGGCGTTAGAAGGAACGGTTCACAGAGTTACCTGTAACTGTATATGTGAGCGATTTGTTACAGGGGATGACGTTAGAAGTAACAACTGTAACTATATGAGTGTTCGGTTACAGGGAGTGGCGTTAGAAAGAGCGCCTCACGGAGTTACCTGTAACTTGATATGTGAGTGATTTGTTACAGTGGATGACGTTGGAAGTAACAACTATACTATATGAGTTTTTTTGTTACAGGGAGTGGCGTTAGAAGGTGCGGCTCACGGAGTTACCTGTAACTTGATATGTGAGTGATTTGTTACAGGGGATGACGTTGGAAGTAACAACTATTACTATATGAGTTTTCGGTTACAGGGAGTGGCGTTAGAAGGAGCGCCTCACGGAGTTACCTGTAACCTGATATGTGAGTGATTTGTTACAGGGGATGACGTTGGAAGTAACAACTATAACTATATGAGTTTTTTTGTTACAGGGAGTGGCGTTAGAAGGAGCGGCTCACGGAGTTACCTGTAACTGTATATGCCCCGGCTTTGCAGATGCACCAAGTATATATCATTTTACTTTATATTTCTTTTTTCATGGTACCTTAAGGATAAAAGGATCAAACTTTGCATAATAGTGATAAAACAGTCATATTCTTGATGAAATTGCATGCATGTACCGGAAAACTCGTAAACATGATTCGATCCTTATTCGGAAGGATATTCACCAGTTTGGTATGAACGATTTATACGAAGTTTGTAAGTTCCTATAGTGTATTTTTGCGTGCAATTTATTTATTTAGCTATTTTTATATATTGTTTTGTATTTTTTCAAAGCTTTTGTTATACATATTCATCAACCGGACATTCAATACACACGTACTTTCACATGCAGACAACGGCAAGAGTTTCTCAGTCATCATCATCATCATCATCTTATATGCTCAATGACGAGTACCATTCTTCTCCTTATAGTCATCTGAACCTATGTTTTAACAAATCATTGTATTCGTCGACATTCTCCTCATCCTCGTCCGCATCTTAAAATAGTCTTAGTCGCTACCCTCTCTTTGACTTGTCGATAGAATGGGCTAATGAGTGTATTGTAGGTTGTATCCGTTGTGTTTCAGTGTTCACCACAACCGCTAAGAAAATCGCAAAGGAACAAAACATATCGACGGAGGAAGCTTTGGTAATATAAGTTACAGTCTTTCAGACTGTTTACCACAATAATATGGCCCTGTTACCACCATATTAAAAGTCACTTTGGAGGTGTTGTTACGCTACAAATAGTATATTGGAAAGAAAGTGATCCAGAATAAATCGTATTAAAATAGTGCCTTCTCATCGTTCCGGCGTATTGGTATGTCCACTCGATATAATTTTTAATTAAATTGATTAAGGGTTTGTTGTTGAAAGACCCCGTACCGTTGTCATAAACTTTGGCCACGCGTTGCAAACTGTTTTTTCCAGTATGACTATACCTTTGATTAATCATTTCTGAAAAGAAAACCGTATCTTGCGGGGCATAAAATTAGTGTTTTGGTTGTAAATAATCAGCAGAGCTAACCGGGAAACGAACCCTGGACTTCAGATTATATAACCGATTTATCTAACTGGTCAACGGAAGAGTATCGGTGCAGTTGTGAAATGTATCCAAAACGAAATGAAGGAGACTCAGAGGTAACGATAGTCGAAAAACACAATTCAGTTGGACAGGGATCCTTTATTCCACAATGGGTCTATTGTGATTTATTTTCCATGAAGTAAACCTGTCTGTTTTGCATGTGCGATTCGTATGTTTTTTTCTCACTCTTTCAGAGGATTGGTTTCGCAAAAAACCCAATAGGAAAACCAGTCAAGATATCCGAGGTGAATATTTATAATGGTTTTAACTTTTCATTTAAGTCTGGTGTGTTTAGGTTTGTATTTATATATTCACTAAAAACATATTTAAATACCCTGACCCTTACTCAATCCTTTCCTGTTTTTGGCCTCGCCCCTCTGCCTCAGGGATGCCCCAGGCCTATTTTGCTCATACGCAAGGGGTAGAATTTAGGATATTTATTTATTTGACCCCGCCCCACTGCTACAAGGACGCCCCAGACCTTTTTTGCCGAATTATCTATTTGGCCTTGTTCCTCTGATCCCAGGGGACATGCATTTATGCAACATTGAGTCCCCTTGGCTCAGTTACACTCACCAAATTTGGTCAAAATTCATAGTCATTTTGGATAAGTAGCCCTTTAAGTGAACAACTGACAGACGGACAATGGGTGTTGTATCACGTCATAGGCTCGCCCTTCAGACAGGCGAGCTAAAAACTACCAATTCATGATCAGCCTTTTTAAAAAGACTCAAAATTAAAAGTAGAGTTTTTCCGTCCAGATCTGTTACGTTTTTGTGTCGCCTGCGAAAAGCTGACACATAGGTATTGCTTTGTCGGCGTCGGCGGCGTCGTCGGCGTCGTCCGAACAGAGGTTTTCGTGCGATAACTTGAGTTTCCTTGGGCCGATCAAACTCAAACTTCATGCAGTGCTTCCTTACCAAAACTGCTTGCTTGGGATTGCTTTTCAGGTCCGAAGGTCAAAGGTCAAGGTCACTGTTACTATAAATAGAAAATCTGTTTTCGTGCGATAACTTGAGTTTCCTTGGTACGATCAAACTCAAACTTCATGCAGTGCTTCCTTACCAAAAGTGCTTGCTTGGGATTGCTTTTAAGGTCCGAAGGTCAAAGGTCAAGGTCACTGTTACTATAAATAGAAACTTCACTAAAACTGTATACTGGACGCCTTCGATCTACCACTTGACCCACCGTGTATACCTCTGAAATGCCGTCTTACTCCAAATGTTATTGACAACACTAGCTGTTTAACATCATAATCCACAAGTTTATTCATTTATTTATGGGAAACCATCCGACAAATCATACAAATTAAACTTGGAATTGAGACAATGAGTATCCATAGCAAGTTCCTTAAAACTCAGAGTATTCTTCCCAGAATAACAGATTATATAACAAAATGATGCCATCCAAAAACATAATCTATGATTATTGCTTACTTTTAACATTATTTCTTGAAATGAAAAGTGTATCTATTTCTTCGTAATCTCCCAGCATCCTGCGCAGGCGACACATCCACTTCCGTGGAATTCTTGTAGAATTGATGAACCAAAGCGTACACTCCTAATACTGTTTTCCTAATCGTTATCTTCAATACACTTAACTTTCATAGGCTCTTTTCGATATACATGTATATATAATAGGAACATTAGATCCTGTGTATTTGTCTCTTCAGATTGCAGAGCTGGCGATGTTCATGTGCTCTGAAGCCGGGGCTAGTATGACGGGGTCAGCGGTCGTCATGGATGCAGGATTTACGTCACAATGACACCTAGCATCGTTGCCATAGTGATTTAAATGTTAAACCTGATACTAATTTACAGTTTTACGATCTTATCTTGATCGAAGTCATTAGTAATTATCGCTTAACGTGATATTCTGTGATCTAAACGTACATCAATAATTGGTTAAATTGTATGATTAATATATATGGCGGTAGGTTCCATTTGTTTTAAAAAATAAAAACTGATATGTAAGATGTGTTTTCTTATGAATCAGTTTTATTGATCAATTTTTACGTAGATCTCCGTAGATCAGTCTGCTTTGAAATACTGTGTTTGGATAACAATAAATGACAAATTTTAGCAGGCTTGTACAAACATGCAGTAGTATTTTACAATCTCAACACCACGCTTATGAATCTGGGGGGAGTAGTTTTGTGTTTACTGTATGGGAACGTTTATCTATTTCATTCTTTACCTCTCCTCTTCACTACATATTCGAAACAAACAACACAACGAGCAAATCACATTTGCCCGACCAGCCTGTCGTGAAAATAGTGCAGTCGGCATTTAATTTTGCAAACAAAACAATCAATATGTATATGAGCTTGTACAGAAGCTCCGCACGCCACTCACGCGAGCGAAAAACAATCTCTCCTAACTGGCATACTGCGTCCGCCCGTGAACGTTTCAGACGCTCCATACATGTATCCCCATCGCAGATGTACTCGCTCGCTCAGGAAAAAACCGGATATAGCACCCGGAAACCTGCGTCCAAAAGGCAGAAAATAATTTCTTTCTGGAATAACAATTATTTTTGCGACCTACATCTCCGGGGCGGCACAGAACCAGTACCAGAAAAAAACACCAAAAGGCGAACGCACAAAGCGACTTAAAAAAAACTACCATACACCCACACAAACACACCCCGCTACGTACGAAAACCTTATTATAAAGCGCGCCCTAAATTCGCAAAAACTAACCGACGTAAAACTTTAATATCCCAATACTTCTTATTTTCAGTACAAAAAATCAAAAAACAAGATATAAGGGTTTTCAAGTATTGAAAAAATATGCATGTAAGTCTTGTAAAAGTCCGTCAATTCTGAATCTGTAATGTTAAAATTTTGGATGGAGAAAAATGAACTAGATTCTATGGAATAACCCCATGATGCATTGCAATTTATTTCAAAGATCTAAATTAGTGTTAACAAAAATCTTTAAATGAGGTATTTCTTTGCGCGTGAAGTCGACAAAACTGAGATCGTTCCTTATACAAATAAGAACTGCGTACGTCGGGAAGACCACGCTTTCTTTGAATTTGATGTTGGTAGGCCTTATACGGCTTTGATATGCATTGATATCTACTTTAATTTACAACACCTGGACAGTGTGCAGATTTTGTTTGCCTCTTTGGTGACACAAGTGAAGACTCCTGTCGAAGCCGTAAGGAGTGAAAACCTGCCTTCGGACCATGGACTAGGTTATGTTGGGTCAAGTGGAATTGTGACTGTACATGTGCACAGGTAATTATATCGCGTAGGTGTGGCTCACATACACTCTCGGTTAAATTAACTACATGTACTATGAAACAGTATAGAATCGTTTCGTATTTATTAGAAACTATGGATATGTATTCGTAAGTTATTCGTGTTAGGGTATTGGCAACAACTGGTTAACCCGTTGCCAGTATAATGTGACCTGGCGGACTGCTGTGCTGGGTGCCTTCGGCATGTTATTTCAGTGAGATAGCACTATTAAGTCAGCAGCAGATCCGTGCTATCACAAGGAGATAATTACATCAACAAATCCTGCGTACAGCACATACAACCGTGCACTCAAACACATCACACGTGGAGGCACGTCCTTAAATGACCTTAACTGTCGTGTCAAATCTTGTCCGAACAATTACATCGCATTATTAGCCAAAATATCGCCGATTACATTGTTTGCAACTTTACACATCGTTTGGACAGTACTGTAATTGTATTACTAAGGACATGTTAATAAACTATTAATTACAATTCTCATCTTAATCCTTATCTTAAAGGCTATCAAACTAGTCTCTAATCCAACCTAGCACCCAGAGTGATTGAAGGCCTACCTAGAAAATAACACAGGTGACTAGTCAGAAATAGTCCACAAAATCATAAATTACATTGACTGTGTAAAGAAACCCTTGTACAATTTGGTGACGTCATATCAACGGTAGGAACTGATAAAAGGCGTGGAAAAGCTGGGTGTATCAGAAGTCCCAGATGACTTTAAAACACACCGATATATCGATTTGACTATAGGGGGGATATGAACAGAGGGAAGATTTACTTGGAGTCTCTGGAAACTGTACAGGGGTAATAAGATCATGTGTTCGGGAAGGGTATTAGTTCTCCTGCGGCATTGACGACATCCGCCCCACACGGAAATCTTATCAAAGCATTGGTCTCCTAGACTCAGCTAAATACCCACATCTCTATTTCCTTTCAAGACGAGAACAACATAACTCAGATAAAATTATCCTACAATTTTCATACTTTTTACTAGCCAAATGGTAAACTAAACGAACCTGTTGCGGTTTTCGTTGTGCGTCTTGCTTCATCTGTGTTTTTTTGAAGACTTTAAAATACCCAATTGGCCGAGGATTGTTATATATGGTCACCATCATGCTAGGATTTTGTCTACTTAGTGTGCCTCGATCCATTTCCTAGGTCACATGGGTCAAATGTATTAAGATCGTTTGACGACATCTTTTGGATAACCAAGATAAATGTACCTCGGATAACGATTATAGATAAGATGGAAGCTGGGATGAAGTGCTATCAAGTTTGTTCAAATGAATTACCTTGTCCAACTTCGAGATAACACGAGTTTCATAAGTTAAAATATTCCAACAAAGATTTAGAAGGTGTAGAATAAAAAAAAATGGGTTTCTCTGTAGATAGTCTGATCTTAATTGCAACAAGTTTCCAATCTGTCTATATTTTATGGAAGTTGGTGTAAGGCCGTTTACGAACTTCATAGTTAGTCTTCTTCGCGTGGAAGAAATCTTACTCCTTCGTTTAAATTATATGATGGTATCCAACTGTTACGGTTAGTTTCACTTAATGTATAATACTCCCGCTCCCTGGTACCCGAACATGACGGTAACCAGAGGGCATGTTTTTGTGAAGCGTCATCATGCTGGAAAACAGGAAATACCCACAGATTCTGTACAAGTACATCTATTATAGGTGTATAGACAGACGAGGCTAGTACCTGTGAAATATATTTGTAAAGATAAACGGCAGTATATGAATGTGTGTGGTTACAAGTCTAAAGCTTCAGCATAATTTAGCTGTAAAACATTGCTGACATATCAAAGGAAAGTAACTCTAGTTAGTTTCGATATCTTATACGCCTTCTCATATATAGAATGAAATCCGTGAACTTATTTTTGGTTGATTCTTTATCTAAACAACAAATTAACGTTGTATATAACTGTGCATGTAATAATCTGTACCATAATATTTGTCATCGAATCAAAGTACTTCTAGTACTAAATATGTCAATGTATTTTACGGTATCATAAAAGGGAATAGCATTGATTCCTACTTATATAATGTATGCTACTTTATCAACATATTTTTTTTAGTGACCTGTATGCATGTGTGCTACGTTTATCTTTCAAGATACAAGGTGGTAGACTCTGCCAGTGGATTTCTTCATTCCCGGGGTTCGTCGTAACCTTGATAGCCACAGTCTCAAAATTGTTAAGTTCGTAAGATTAAGGATTTTCATAGACATCCATTCTTGTATTAAGTTCAAACCAATCTGGATTCGCAATGTATTGTTCCATAGCGTCACCGATACGTCATACAAGGACGAATGAGCTATATTGGGCATTGTAGTATGTTTGGCATATTGTATCTACTACATATACAGTGCCATATTAAAAGTACAATCACCTGTGTGTATTACGTTCATCATTCTATCGTACTATAAGGATGTATGTTATTAAATTGTACTTGGCTAGATTTTGCTACGTATTTAATTTACTTTGCTAGATATTACTATGTATTTAATTTACTTTGCTAGATATTACTATGTATTTAATTGTACTTTGTTAGATATTGCAATGTATTTAATTGTGCTTTGCTAGATATTACAAAGTAATTAATTGTACTTTGTTAGATATTACAATGTATTTATTGTACTGTGTTAGATATTACAATGTATTTAATTGTACTTTGTTAGATATTACAATGTATTTATTGTACTTTGTTAGATATTGCAATGTATTTAATTGTGCTTTGCTAGATATTACAAAGTAATTAATTGTACTTTGTTAGATATTACAATGTATTTATTGTACTGTGTTAGATATTACAATGTATTTAATTGTACTTTGTTAGATATTACAATGTATTTATTGTACTTTGTTAGATATTGCAATGTATTTAATTGTGCTTTGCTAGATATTACAAAGTAATTAATTGTACTTTGTTAGATATTACAATGTATTTATTGTACTGTGTTAGATATTACAATGTATTTAATTGTACTTTGTTAGATATTACAATGTATTTAATTGTACTTTATTAGATATTACAATGTATTTATTGTACCTTGCTATTTATTACAATGTATTTAATTGGGTTTGTTCTCCTTTCTCCCACTTTTTTCTGATCAAAGGAATTATATAAACACTGGAAAACAATAGAGGTGTCATTATAGTCTGTTCTGGTATAGTACAGGTAGATTATTTACCTGTATTTACCTGTTCACCAATAGGAAATACTGTGTTAGTTATAGGAATATTTAAGAAATATATTTCCTGATTTTCGTAATATTTACTGGAATTATGAATAAATATATACAAGATTCCAGTTATTACTTAATAAAAACACATCAAAATACATTAACTGAAAACCTGCTTTTATTAATTTCATAAATCAATTTGATACATGTTTACTATACATTTACATGTATTTTATGTATATATTTCATAAAATAGAACTAAATTTAGCAAGCAATTTATGACAAATATAACCAGTAAAGACAGAGATCACGGATTACATTATTAAATATGCAAAAACAGATCCAAAGCTGGGAATGAAAATAAATAAAACGAATTAATTACATGTACCCATGGAATACTCAGCACTGGTTGATCAAATCAATCATATTCATAAAATGCACACGCACAAAGATACATGATATAAAACTAATATGATAGCACTAACTTACCAA